GATGCTAATGAAACTTGCAAACCAAAGAAGAAGAAGACAAAATCTCCCAAGAAATGGTCTCGTTTTAGTTTATTGGGCTGCTAATTTTTTTTTTTTTTATTGCTTGGACTATGCTTTATTTTATATTTGTTTTAATCTAAGTGGTTTTTTTCCTTACTACAAATTCGCAATAGTTTATCCGTCAAAACTAAAATTAGTCGATTTTCGTTTCAAACTAATGTCTATCTAAATTAAAATTGGCTCGGATTTTAATATGATCGTAGCAAAATGATGGATAAAAAGTTTCGGTAGATCATTTGGTCATTGGTTCCTCACTTCACCTTCCTTACCCAGTTTCAAACCTCATTAATCTCTATTTTATAAAGAAACAAAATATCATATAATTTTATTGTTCAAAAAAATAATAATAATAACTACTCCTATTAATTAGTTTTGATTCTCTTAATATGTTTACCTTAAAAAAACATTAACTAAAAAAGATGTAATGTGGTTTTCTATAATACGATTTTATAAAAAAAACGATAAATTAACCTGTAAGAATTATAAGTCTACAGAAATTGAGATAAACTAATTGAAATTATGTTTAGGCATATTATTTATTCTCGGTTTATTGTAACTCCAACAATGTAAGCCAAAATTGTACTACATAGTTATAGACTTGTTTTGCAAAAATCTTTGGAGTCTTTGAGCTAGGTATAGTTTCCAACATTTGTGCTTTCGTTTTAGTTATTACTTTTTCTGTTTAACTATAACTTTTGTGAGTGATGAATTAAGAAACTTACCATTCGGCAAAGACAAAGAAGTTGTGTACGACTTGAAAGGAAAATTGGAGAATAATCTCGACCTTAGTGATCCAAAACATGTCAGAATTGAAGAAGAGTTCATGGGGGATGTGAAGAACGAAGCTCTATACTTAAGCTAACCCTCTAAAGAAACCCTACAAGTTGCGGTAAACAGAGATGCAATTTCCTAAAGATTATATTTTGAACACTTTATTAAAGTGCA